TAAGAAAATGTTCCTTATCGAACACCGAATTCTCATCTCGTGCAGTATTCGTTATACTCAAGAGTAACTTTCTACGCAGTCCCACTCAAAGCGCCAAGCTTCTGAGCCCAATGGGTAGCGACAGCAACTGGTGAATAAATAAATAATTCCCTTTCGCGCAAAGAAACCAACAAAATCGCTGCAGAATGTGCTCAGAATCGCAATTAAAACGCGCATTAATGGCATGATGATGATGATGATGAGAACCTGTTGCATGTGGACGCGACCAAAAACCGTTTCGGGCCTGGACCTTACCATGGCTGATTACGAATGAGTCGCCAATGCTCCAGAACATGCTGGTTCGAATCGGGTACTGGGCAAATAAAGAAAACTGGGCCCGAATCTAATCACTACTGCATTACACCGTTTAAAATGCTCAAAAGTACTGCCGCGCCACAGCAAAGAAAAAAACCTGAGCCAACAAAAACCGGTTAAAAACTGAGTAAGAAAAAGTGGCCGACTCACCAGGATATTGCCACAATGTGGGGGTGGTCAAGGTTTGATTGTGACTGCCGCCCACTTGCCACGCCGCCAATCCTTGTGAACGATCGTCGGCACATTGCAGGAGGCCCCCGCCTCCAGGTACCGCCCCTGACGTGCCTGCAGCCATGCTTGCCATGCTTGCCATAGTTCCTGCATTGTCTGAAAGAGATTTCTGTATTAGTTACGTAACGTAGCTGGAGTCTACTGCATGGATATGCAAGTGTGTATTATGCGTGGTCGCTTATAATCAATGCTCTCTCCTGCATGTGTCGATCCCACTTTATACGCAACTACGAAATTAGTGTGGGCGCTTCAATGCGCTGATATCATTATATATCGTGTGCGATCATGATCATTATGGATCCAGTGACTTCAATGTTTATTGAAAATGTGGTTTCGATCTACAAATCGGCTTTTCCTGTATCTAAAATTCGTTTTTTTCTAAACGGGTTTCTAACGCGATTTAAAGCTGAATTCGTCAATTAACTAACTCTTCAATCGGTGGTGTGTATGTAGGGCGTAGGGCTGCCATTTTAAGGAGGGAAGAATATCAAAGGGCTTCAAACCCGTTAGCAAAAACTGGACAAAACTAGCGATAAGAAAAGAATTTTTATTGGAAAAGCAGTTTCAAAAAACAGTCATTCTATCGTTCCTGTGAGAGCCGACGATTTTTTTCGTTTTGAACCTAACATCTGCTCAAGAGAGGTTGGAATTGGGAAAACAATTTTAAGATTCCTCTCATTCATCGAATTAGTGTTGCTCAGGAAAAAGACGTAGATAAACTGTTAGGTACAACGGCGCGTTCTTGATTAAAAATCCACAGCTTTTAATCCAGATCAGGTAGCAACGAGTTTGATTTAGCATACATTATGGAAGATGTTAAAAACGGTGAAACTTTCACTTATCTCGAGCAAAATCCTGACTTTGTTAACCCCGTAAATGATGAGCCAAAAATTTGCAATTTTATTCGCCCGCGCGCTCTTTGAAAATTCCCAAGTTTTCGTGTGGCGCAAGCGGCAACTTGAAATTTTCACATCCTATGGAAACCACTTGAAGCTCAAAAGACTCAAAATTTCGTTCAATTGAAATAACATTCTGGTGTTTTTTCATTTCTGCCAACGCTGGCTAATAGTAAAAAAGTTCAGTCACTGCACGACCTCTGTGATTTTCGCTAAAATCGCACAAAATCCTGATTTGTTTCTCGAAAAACATCCAGTATGAATCCGTCTCAACTTGCACTTATTTTCCGCACTTTGAGTGGATTTTCCAGATGTTTTATCAGCGCTGGTTGATCCTCAATTTATATGAGATTTCATGTGCATTTAGAGATTAAAGAAACACTTTTTCTCCTTCTTTCAAATCGAATCAGGGTGTTGAAACAACTGATTATTCATCTTCTTAATATACACACACAAAGCTTCAGAATTAAACATATTTTGGGTATTTTAGATTGAAATTTATTATTTTTCGCCCAAGAACTGATTTTCAGTTCACCCTGAAGACAAACTTTTTTGCGGTGATTTAAAAGTAAATATTGTTTCTTAAGCTCGTCGTGAACAAACCTTCCATGTACCGCATCTCTAGTGAAGTAATTATTCCTACAGTCTACAACTATTTGATAATTCAATTTTAACGAATAAATCGTCCACTTAATAAACAGAAGTAATTTTTTCTCACTGTGCTTTTAAATGTTCAAAAAAAATGTTCTTCTCAATGTTCAAAATCGTGTTTCAACCCCAGAAATCCGTGAAAGGATTAGCTGTGTATAATCAAACAAAGCGTTTAAAATGTGCTAAAAATTGCAGCAAAGTCTAAACAAATGTTGCTAATTTTCCACCAAAAAACAAGTTTTCTTTTATTTTCAATCAATTTAACACATCCAGACTAATCCATGCATACCGAACGCAAACAGATTGCGCAAATAAGAAATATTCAAATTAGTCCAATTCGCGTAGAATTTTCAAAAACTCCATTTGCAACAGATAAACATCCGAAAAAAACACCTGAAAAACTTCACTGACTTTATTATTGATCACCCATTCACTACTTACCTATAACGAAAAAATCGGTGTTACCGAACCACATCTGAATCCTCATCTTAGTTTACCGTAAATCGAGTAATCAACTACTATTGCAAGAATGGGACCGAAGCAACTAAAACCCCCCAGTGACTTTAACATTTCTCTTAACAGTTAATTGTTTTTGGAAAGAAATCCCGAAGCAATAAATTATTTGGCATTAAACAGAACATTTGATAACTATTTAAACAGAAAGATATGATATCGTTTTATGGCAGATTCATTTCAGTGAGAGAGAAAAGAGAGAATTTATTACCAACTTAAGACTGGGGGGATTTAAACGTAGGTACAACATGGGGGCTGTAAGAGCCACTGATCTTTATTCAAATACGTTCATCTGCATTAGGAGCGTTTAAATAAGCTGCTGCTTCAACAGCAGCAGCAGGAACGGTCTCAGAGACACAGACATTGTCTAGCAATTGGCTGACTTGGAGCCAAATAAGCCTTAAATGTTATGGAAGTATTTTCATTTATTTACATCCTAAATGAAACATCGCAAGAGTCGAAGGCAATAAAAACAGATTACCCAAAGCAAATCGACTTGTTGGAAGCGTTCCAATCATATTTCAGTAGTACGGAATTATTTAAACAGCAAATTATACATTAGTGTATCTGTTTAAGCCCGATTATTTCATCACCGCTTGACGGATTTATTTATATACGTTTTACTGAATTAGTAAATCACGCCAATTGAATTGAACAAAAAACTACCGAAACAATCCACATGACGAAGAAGTAGAGTAGAACTTGACCTTTCCACGGGTTGTTCGTGTTCGGACCTTGAAGTCAAATAAAAAGTCGCTCGGCTAATTTCTATAATAATATGTTCTTCGCATAAACAACTCAGTGTGGCGTGGCAATTTGCAATGTAAAAGATTTAAAGCTGGAAAGTTAGTTGCTTATTATAAGATCAAGACCAAGAACAGCTTAACTAATTCAAACACTATCAGGAATCGAAAAAAATTACATTGTGCGCACTTTGTGCGTTTGTTCAGTAATCCGGGCTCATTTTTTATTCTTAGGCTTAAAGGTCACTGTGGTATTTAATATTCCCATTTCAATCAAGTCTCAAGTGATTTATTGAACACACGCCTTGATAAATTTAAGATTCCCTTTTGCATCTGAAACTGGTGAGTTTGATGTAAAAAAATTACAATTCTAGGCATTTTCCGTTCAAAACTGCAATTTGTTGTCGTCTCCCCATTAATTTTGAATTTGCAATTTTCGTTTTTGCAGCCCAGTAGATTTTTACTCATTTAATGATGTTCTTCTGCTTCTTAATTCCTTTTCGGAACAGACGATTTTTCTGTCCAAAACCTTCTGGTTTGGCGACGTGAGACACTTTTAAAAGACACAACATTTTGAGGCCAAACTTCCCACGAAATCGTTTGAAAAATATGAATCCACCTCAACCACAGTTATTTTGTATTTATTTTCCACGTTTTGTGGGGATGTTTCAGATGACCGCTTTTTGATCTAAAAGATATTTTCAATTCATGTGAATTGAAAGTCGAAAACAACATTTTTTTCCTTTTCTTCTAATCGAATGTCACAACGACAACGTTCCTTTATCTTATTAATTCGCACACTTCAAAGCAGCAAAGAAAGGTAGAGAGAATTAAACATGTTTTGGGTATTTGGAAATTTATTATTTTTTATTTTTAGAACTAACTACTGATTTTCATTTCACCCTCTAGTCACACTTTTTTGTAAAATGTTCGTCGTTCATAGTTTCCAGATTCACTGGATTTTTACGCATTCAATCTGCCATTAAACAGCAACTGTTATATTTATCATGTTCACTTTCGGTGAAATTTTCGGTTGATCGCTAAACGGTTGCTTTTAAACTTTAATATTCCAACTTTCGTATCTTTATGTTGAAAATGATTTGTCTTTTTCTTCGAATAAAATCATTACCTAAATTTCGTAAAAATCCCGTTAAACTGAAACTATTTTCAAGATCTCCATTTAATTTTTCCGTGTGAAAATTTGTTAAGCTTCCATTTAAACTCTGCTGTATAGTTTTTTCTCCTTCTTAACTGGTGCATCAATTTTTTTTTCGCGAACTCAACGTTTTTTGTACTTTTCATTGATGATTTCTCAGTTCTCGTTTTTCTGTCACTTCATTTGAACTCAGAGCTTCATTTGTTCACCGTCTGCTTGATGAAAGTAAAGTAGATTTTTCGAAACTACCAACTTTCTGCCTTCCGTTCGGCAACATCTTGGCCCACCCCTCGCTAAAGCTTGTTTAGCTCGCTTTCCTACTCCAATAAGACCCTTATAATGTAGGCGAAAGCATCGCATCGTAACATAATAAAATATTATGACTCATTTCTGGCAGTATTAGTCGCCCTTCAAGATATATTTGCTGCGCCGCAGGAGATAAACGCTATTTGTAGCAACCTTAAATGCCCCCAGCACATCTTTCGTCTATCAAAACTATCATAAAGGTATTTGGCCTGAGATTGATTGCAGGTGATTCGATAATAAATGCGGGAAGTGTATCGGAAAATTTAAAATAAAAACGAGATTTTCGTTGCAGGAAACTCGAGTTCTTTGTCCTGCTGCGCGTTTTTTCCTACTCACCAATTTCCTTAATTTGAGCTCCGCTTGCATTAACAGTGGCTAGAAGACCGGCTGGCGGTAAGGAAGGAGACCCCAGCAGTTCATGTTGGACTCTTTGTCTTGCTACAGCTATTCCAACGGGAATTTGGGCTCCTGCAACAAAGATAAGGGTCCCCTTATTTCCGTACAGCTGATAGAGTCAGGAATATCCGAAGTCATCTTTTGCTTAAACTAATGAGGGTTTGAAGTTGGCGGTTTTGATTTAAAATTGTCTTGTCGCCCAAACAATTTCCCATTTGAAAGTAGGTGCACAAAAAAATTAATTGAAATCATCGAAGATGGCAGACTCTTATCCAAAATCCCAGAAATTTAGTCCTAGCGGCCTCCTCCTAAGCCGATTAACCGGAAATCCTTACAGCAGAAAGTCATCGCACAGATCTATTAAATCTAATTAAATTTTCCAGGTAGCCGATAAATTCACTTGATTGATTTCTCTAGAGGTTCAACAGGAAATTGTGGCTGATCCATCGAACGTAGGTTGGGATCTTTCCTCTTTTGGTTTTCATCATTATCGAAAAAAACCGGTCAACCGATATGAATAACACGAATAAGAATAAAAGAGTGGCTTCCTGAATAGCGGTCGTAACAGTTTATTCAGTAAACTAGATGGATCTAATAACTCTCGGCCGTTGATTAAGGCCTTCCTGACACACGAGCTAGTTAACATTACGCAGGAATGCATCTATAATTTAAATCGAACTTGGCTGGATTTTGTCCCCTGAAATCAACAGGAAACATCGCTCTCTCTCTCATTATCGATAAGGTAGTATTTGATAAATGTATCCGGCATACAATTTTATCTTGAATACTATTTGCCGTATAAACTTGTCTGTCGTGGCCCAAGGGAATTTGCTTAGGACGAGAGTACAAAGAGGCAACCAGTCAAAAATGAAGTAAAGAAGATAAAAAAGGCCTTTTGCTCGCTTTCCAACTTGTTTATTGAAAGCTTAGCGGGGCTTGGCAACTGATGAATCCGAAATCTCATAAAAGGCAATTAAAGCAGTTGAAAAAAGAAAAAAAGCTTTAACAAAATTGTACCGCGGATGGCCGAGTATTAAACTCTTCCTTCTGCTTCCAACTTTTATTCCACT